GACTTTGATTGTCAACACTCGTCAACGCATTCAGTAAATAGTATATGCTACTGAATGAGAAATTGATTCGAACTGTGAAGTAAAATGAGACGAAATGAATGAGAAAAACTCATGAAGAGAACGGTATTCTCATGCCATAGCTATGAGAGCGAATACAACACGTCTAAAAAGAATGAGAATCTAGCTATAACAGTTTTAAATGAACCTGTGACAGACAATAGCTTTTCATGCAATCATGATCAATTGCAATAACGAGCAACACAACGGTCTATGACAGTGATTCTCATTGGGAGTGAAANCTCATTGGGAGTGAAATTACCCGTTTTCGATAATTTAGGGGTAACGTCGGCCTGCCAGAACATCAAAAGGGGTAATAGAGCACCCGGACGTGAGAACCACTGATCCAAAGACTTAGCTAAAATGATTGTTCTCCAATAAGCATCAAAATCCTTGATACCGAGTTGACAATATTCCTGGAACAGAAAAAATAAGATGCGAGATAATTTGAAGCGATGAAATAATGCTAAAGTAATGAAATAATGCCCTATAATTGACAAGTGGCTCGTATATGTGATGAACTTATTTTTGTTCAAATTCAAGTAACTTCATCAAGTTGACAATCAAAATCCCATGTGAATTCAAACCACCCATGAAGCGTTTCTTTTAGAAGCAACAACACAGCTAAACGTTCATTTTTGATCGAACGTTGTGCTGACGATCATACCGCAGCAAACGGTCATGCCGCAAACGGCTATGCAGGACAGTTTGCGTATGATTGTGACGATCCGAATCATGAGGAGGAACTTGCAGACGACGATAACGAAGACGACGAGGAGATTGCTAAAAATGATAAGAATGAACCTCTGTCGGCATTCCTCCATCGTGAGTTCCTCAAAACACCAAGTTCTATTTGTGTGCTTTTAAAGGGGTTTGTGGCAGTGTTTTGCTGTGCTAAACAAATTTCCCTCAGTTTCAGTGAAGAATTGATGATGTTCTCAGTTACGATGGAATTTGTTAAACTCCAGTCAAAGTGCGTGATTACTACTCGTCAAGTTTGATGTTTGCTTGCTAATCATTCAACCGTTCAGGTCAACTTCAGAATGTCATCCACTTCTTCGTTGAAGACTGGTTCCTGTCGGCGATGTTAGGTGTAATAACGGCTGTGCTGTCAATTTCAGTTGACGTCGCCATTGAATATCTGCAACAGTGTAAGTAAACTTGATTAGCTCTTTCACATGTTTGGCACTCAGTCTGACGTGAGAACTCCCATCAAATTATGCATTGTTGTATCTAAATACCAAAGTTAGAATTCAGCTGTTTGTAAACAGGTTCTGTCGAAGTCATTTTCATCAAGCACACATCAATTCGACCTTTCTTTTTGATTCTCGTAGTATGCTGGGGAATCGTTTTGACACTTGATTAGTTGTAACTCAGGTTGATTCAAAGCTGATTGTAAGAAGCGACTGAATATGGCAAGTAATGCTATCAAATAATGATGCAATCAGAAATGATCATTGTAAATCAATCGTGAACAAATCGGAAAGGAGATAGAACTGATACACCTAATGCAAGAATGACACACATCCGATGAACGAACAAAGCATGTTGGGCATGCATGCATTTTTGATAGCGACAACNTATAATCACCTCATTATTTCGAGTGAAATTCTCGGGAATTCTCCGATTAGATTGAAAAGACCCTGAACGTTTGAGTCGAATTGTATGTCCGTTACATGTGCAACGCTGTGTTTGGATTTGAGCTCACAAGATGTTTAGTTTAAAAAGTTATAAATTTCAGTTAGATTAATTTTATACGAACATGCGCTGAAGTTCCATGCATACAGTGCAGCGATCTGCTGGATTCTATATATAACACTCATGACTGGCGGAGCGGCTGCAGTCTGTCATGCGTTCTCGAAACATGCCGTTGGTAAGCATCGGATAATCAGCATGAGTTTGTGCTGATCCTGAAGAAAGTTCATGATCTCTGATAAGTGCCAGCAATTTTTAGTGCTTCTGGAAGCCTGAAATATTTAATTTCAAAGAAACTTATAATGATGACGATCGCGGTTCTGAGGGATGTTGAATAGCAATTCTAACAGCTGTGAGAAGGGACAGTCTTGCTCTCAGCACCAGCACCATTGCATTTTCTGTGGTTGAGAGTATCAAGCTGAGGCCAAGGCTCATTTCTATCTAAAACACACTTGCACTCTTTCCATATGTTGCGATTTATGTGAGTCCACAAATATATATTGTCAAAGTATTCAGGCTCTGGCATTCCAGAGGTCAAAGTTATTATGCACGGATTTGTGATGAAGAATTATTTGACTTTCAAAACGCTGATTGTCAAAATGATTTCATTGACGTTAGCGCTCGGAAGTGGCCTTCCGATAGGAAAAGAGGTCTGTAAACTAATCTGTTACACACATACTCAGTCAGTCCATCTGCTTATTCAGTATTCTTCACAAATTTTGGTCCAATCTTGATGTTTTTCTGTTCTAATCAGTACAGATCACACTCACATCATTAAGCTTTAGCATGCTTCTTCAGTTATGATGGTCTATCAAAAAAATGGTTCAGTTGTCAGAATTTCATGGCTTTTTGTACGCCCACTGCAATTCAGTGATTCTTCAAGTCTTGACCACCAGATTAGTTATTCTCATAAGATGATGTCACCCGAAAAAGTGAATCTCAAGATCAGTGTTTCTGTTTGGCACTTAATCAATCACCTTTAGGGTCCATTCGTTCACATGGGTGCTATTGTAGCATCGCTGTTA